GATTCTAGTAATTTTAATGTTAGGGATTGTTCCACCTGTTTGGAGATATCTGTATATATTTTTATAAAACATGACAGCACTATGAAGTTAGGTTATAAAAAATTACAGCTATTCAGATTTTATTTGTCACTTTTTTTAAGTGGGCAGCAAATTTGCCCAAAAATGGCGGATGATTGCGGTACTTTCTATATCTAGTGACTTTAACATTGATGATTGCTGAAGCACAAAGAATATTGATCTCTTGTACTCCATGGACTAGATCAACGTTTTTTGTCTTCCATTTAAGGGGGTAAAGTAATACTTTTTATTCCAGAAGGAGAAACACGCGCCAAGGGACAAGAAGTGACAAAAGACACTGAAATGTCAAATACAATTTAATGATTAGCGGTTACCTTTATCTGTACATTTTGGATATTGCACCATGTTTTATACTTATTATACCGTTTTCCATATATCTTTTTGAATTTGGGAGGCAGTGGTTTTCCCATAGGTTGTTCTGCAAAGCTTTAAACGATCGTTTCTGCGCCGTTAGTTTTGAACGAGAATCTTTACTTAAATGAAACTGACATTTATTATTCTATGGTCACAATTTGACATGACAAGGCAAATTGATCCTACAATCAATTTTTTAGCTCCAATATGGCGCATTATGATAAGTTGTCGCCACTCAAGGTTATTTTATTTCAAAGGTTACCTGGTAACTATGTGGGCGGAAGCGGGAGGGACGGAATATATACGTCATCGAGAATTCAGACATTGACGTTCAAAGTTGTTTGTAGTCGCGCGGGTGCTTATTTTTCTTGAGTTATAGTTTATTTGTTTAAAATTTATTGAATTTTGAAGTGCATAAGGACATATATTAGCTGTAGATACCTGTTTGGTGCAATATAAAGACATTTAGTTTGTGAATGTTGTGGGTATTTATAGCCGTGATTGAAAGGTTAGTTCATCAATTATATGCACTTTTGTATGTTATAATTAAGTATTTTTTTAGATGAGTGGCGGTAACACTAAAATTCCTCATCCTGGTGTAAATAAAATCTGTTTTTACGTTTCCCAAAGACCCTATCGTTCTTAAAGAATGGGTAAGAAAATGTTTCACATCCGACAGCAAACTAAAACGTGCTGCGCCCTCATTGGTCAAAACGGCCAACCGATGAAAGCGTAGCGTCCCTGGCCGCAAACGTTTAAAAGCAGAGCCACGAACTCTGCAAAGTGCAACACAATTTCTGCTTCGACTGCACTTCAAGAAACAAAAAGCTCTCCACCTGCAGAACCAGGTCGCCTTGCTAGCTCGACCTCGCGTCACATTCCATCAGTCAGAAGACTTGCATCTGGGTTCACCCCAACCATAGAGCTCGCCGTGTGCATCTCGGTTGCCATTTTGTACATACTATAAATATACATATTCCATAAAAAGCAACAGCATTTTATTTGGCGTCATCCGCTAAAGAATGTGTAGAGTTTTAATTCCCAAAGCCTAGGTATTGATACATAGGGGTGGTTCCTATTTTGTAGGAACCCGGAATTTTATCCATTTCCACCTTTAAAATTAATTTGATTACATTTTCACAAGTCCTCGTGCAATGTAAAATAGCTTACGCACCACACTCATTTTTTCAAAACTTTGATTGCTTTCAAAGGTGGAAGTCGATAAACTTTCAAGATTTTCAATATAAGATCCACCCCCATATACATATACCCATATAAATCCAAAAATATACTGCAAAAACTAAATATTTTATCCCTTTTATTAGCATTGTAACCTATGAGCAATTTTAAATGTGTATTCCGGATGACGTTTTCCCGCCTTCAAAATGCAAGCATTCTATTGGTTTAGAGTTACCAGACAACCTCCCTAATAAAACAACCTTGGTCGCCACTGTCCTTATAAAGTCACTGTAGTCCTGCCCTAGGTCCTGCCTATACTAGCTCAGTTTTTGAGTGACAGTAAATCTTGAATGTCAATGATATTATTCAATTATGATAGTTAATCACTATGTAAAAAAACTTCGTTTACAACACGTGTTGTAAGTGTCTTTTTTGCATGATTTTTCAGGATTAATGAGGGTGAAAATGTATCTCTTTCAAAACTAGTTGTACAAATAACTATAGCCGATTGCACAGCTTCAATAGTTATTTGCATAAAAGTCAGGAATATGACAGCTAACTGGCAAGGAAAATACTGAAGTACGAGGCTCCTTTGGGGTGTGGGTGAAGTACTTTAATTTCCAAGTCGAGTAGTATCATTTTACTGACATGTATTACATTTTTCTGCAAATCCGCTTTTTTAATATAAAATTTCAATTTTCAGATGGATTCACATTAGTGTGTCAGTTTTGACAGCAACTAAAAGTTCTAAATGAAATTTAAAATTCTATGTTGAAAAAAACGATTTCGGAAAAAATGTAATACAAAACTCGTAAGAGACACTACTCAGAAATTAAAGTACTTGGTCCCTTCAATATTTCCTAACTTATGTAAATACTGCATATTCCTACACTATATTGTTCAGTTCCTCCTAAGAATACTGAATCTTCGTTAATTAATTGAGACTTAACTTTATTAACACACACCACATGTAAAAGTGAACGTACTTGATTTTGTAGTATATTATTCTTTACAATATACCTACCTGCAAGAGCATGTCTATTAGTAAATGACAAATATTAGGAACGCAATGATGAATTTTACAAGCTAGCCAGCAGACCATTAACAATTGTCACAAACTGCTCAGAAAGTTATCCATATGGACCATGCCCTGCTAGTTTACAAAAACATCACCTGTGCCAGCGTGCGAATGGTTGCAAAATCGTAGCAAGCAGGAACACAGCCCAAAACCAGATGCAATATTACTTTAGTTTTTTTACCTTACAATAGACATACAGTCGCCGCTTATCACTTGAAATAGTTTCATACGAAGTGTTTCGTTGCATACCTCTTTTTTTAAAAACTATTATACCTCCGCCAACAAGTGCTAAAAGTACCAATACACCAACAGAAGATCCAACCGCTACTCCTGTAGAATCTAAAACAATTTAATAAAATATTCAGCCTTTACGATGAATTTACATGAACCTGCACTTGAGACCTCCAACTGTCCTGATTGTGGAAACCATGTGCACACTTCTTTGAATGGATAATGGACAACAACTGAACAATCGGTTTCCTATAAAACAAATCATATTTCTACTAAGTAGGTATAACCTAATATTTAGAACTGCCATAAGAAGTATCTTAAAAATTTGAAATGCAACACCTTGTACCTAATGTGATTACCCATGGTGTAATAAGGAATAGAATAGTGTGACAACATTCATGTACAAAATAAAAAATCCATGCCATCCAAGGAATACAGATAATATTATCCTGTATAAGATGACTGTTAAAGAATATGCTGTAATAATAAATCAGCGATCATGTCTAAATGTTTCTGGATGTTAGTTAATACAAAATCAATAAATAAGTGACGAACATATTGACTAACTTTAGGTACGATTTATGATTATTTAGGAATGTATACCAATATAGATCTTTATTCTCCTTGTACACCATTTAATAAGATGCTCATATGAACTAGGTAGGTTTTTAAAAAGTCATTAAAATAGCTCCTATTAAAATCAATGCAAAATATCTCGCCTTACTTACCCACCATGACATGGGGTCTCGCTAATCCTGGAGGGTTGCATACATTATATGGTTGCATTCATATAACATGCCTATTGGATTGGGGTCCAATTAAGCTTTACAATATGGCCGACTTTAACAATAAAATTGACATTTATGGTAAAGTAAAACATAATGGTATAGTATAATTTTTGAATTCAAAAGTTCTCAAAGGCAAAGAAACGAAGAAGTTTTTCGTAGTTTTTAAGCCACTTTGGCCAGTTTATACGAAAAAATTTTCAAGGCGTCATGGTTCTTTTCAACTTTCTACACCCTCAACAACCATACGCGATCAAAAATCAGTTGCTGTCAAGTCACCTATGGAATTTTTGTTTACATGGGAAATCGTATTAAACTTGAACTTCCAAAGGCGACTTCATCGCAACTGATTTTTGATCGCATTGAATATATTATCCTTGCCAGGGATCTGTGCCCCTGCGTCATCAACGTACGAATCAAGCAACATCTAACTTGTTGATAATGCCATTTCATTACCGCGCAATTCAAACAAGTTAAAAAGTAATCGTAAACGATTTACATAAAGCGCATTTCCACTTGCATTCATTTCCCATTTGTAAGATGCAACTTCTGTTGAAATCGTAGAAATCCGGCCACAAATATGAAAGATAGCATTGCACATGGGCAATCCATTGTTGACGTGCTACTTCAATTTCAGTTTATGAGAAGAATTTCATTTCAATGCTTTTCTAAATAATAAAGTTGGAACTGCGCATGCGCAAACCTCAATTTTAAAACTAATGATAGATTTTCCTTTGTTCCAAGCGCCTAAGTATCAAATTTCACTTAAATAGTTCCATAGATAAAAAAGTTGGCACGGCGCATGCGCAAAATAAAATTTTGAAATTGGCGTTTGATTTTCCTTTATCCCAAGTGCCTATGTATCAAATTTCGTTTAAATTCTTCCATAAATAAAAAAGTTGGCACTGGGCATGCGCAAAACCAAATTTTGAAATTGGCGTTTGATTTTCCTTTATCCCAAGTGCCTATGTATCAAATTTCGTTTAAATTCTCCCATAAATAAAAAAGTTGGCACTGCGCATGCGCAAAACCAAATTTTGAAATTGGCGTTTGATTTTCCTTTATCCCAAGTGCCTATGTATCAAATTTCGTTAAAATTCTTCCATAAATAAAAAAGTTGGCACTGCGCATGCGCAAAACCAAATTTTGAAATTGGCGTTTGATTTTCCTTTATCCCAAGTGCCTATGTATCAAATTTCGTTTAATTCTTCCATAAATAAAAAAGTTGGCACTGCGCATGCGCAAAACCAAATTTTGAAATTGGCGTTTGATTTTCCTTTATTCGAAGTGCTTATGTATCAATTTTCATTCAAATACTTTTATAAGTAAAAAAGTTTGCAAATCGGTTTATAAATGGTCGAGATGCGAAAAGGGCACTGTGAATTTTGAATCGATTCGATTCAACTTTTGGCATTGCGTATTATATGGCTAAAGCTATGCCCATATTGAATTTCATGCAATTCAGTTCATAACTAACGGAGATGTAAAAGCGATCGAACATTTCTAAACAAAGTTATCGTTCACACGGACAGATAGATGGACAGACAGACAAAGGAACAGACGGACAGACCAACAGGCAGACGACAGATAGCAATGCAAAATTATAAACGATCTCTAGGATCGTTAATAAACGGCAAAAGTGTAAAATTATGGAACATGTAAAAAACGGTTTTTTGTTTTTTTTACAATAACTTTTTTTGTAAGCGGTACAGAAAAAATTCCTTCCTTGGTACAAGACTCGACACCATAACGAACCAAATAGCGAAAAAAGTAGAACAATAGCTCTTAAGATAAAAAACTAGTAGCGTCGCAAAGTTAGCGGACGGACGGACGGACTGACGGACGGACGGACGGACAAAGTGGCCACAATAGCGCATTTTTTTTTTATTTTTGTGGAAATGCGCTAACAAGGATAGATCATAAATAAAGTGCATTTCACGCGTTCGACGTACGCTATTAATGGATTCAATGCGGTGAAAAGAGAACACCGATGAAAATAAGGTGGCTCCTGTTTCTCATGTTTATAAAATTGGATACTCATTTGACTAGCTACGTGATTGTTTTGTTGACCGACATACATAACCTCTCATTTCGTTGATCTGTCACTGCATTTTGTTTGATTCTTTCCATTTACCTTTTTTCCGCTTTTATTACATAGTGTCGACAACAGTTCTTTTTAGAACTATTTTGTGTGTGAGTTATTTTACCTACTTCATACACCTACCTATTTTTTGTACCGATTGGCAAGATGAAGATTTAAAAAGTGTGCGAAAACCTGCAGGTTACGATGGGAAAAGATTTATTATTGTCCATGCTGGTACAAGCACCGGGTTTATACAGAACGCTTCTCTTTTATTTGTCTCGAAGTCGTTGAAAGAGGACTATCATGGGGAAATGAATGGAGATCTCTTTAAGAAATGGCTTATCAATAATCTGTTAAACAACTTGGAAGAGCCTTCGTTAATTGTCATCGATAATGCACCATACCACTCTACATTAGAGAAACTGCCCACATCGTCTTGGACTAAAGGTGATATGGTTGCTGGGTTGACCAGAAGAAATATTCCTTTTGATTCTACACTCTTCAAGCCCGAGCTGTATTCATTTATAAAATCGTTAGGAATCCAAAAACAATATGAGGTCGACAACATCATTAGGAACCATGGACATGATGTTTTACGATTACCACCCTACCACTGCGAATTTAATGCTATCGAGTTGGTGTGGGCACATGCTAAAAGTTATTACGATAAACATATTGGACGAGACGGCTACAGTGACCACAGTGTAATTTCTATGTGGAACGAGGCACTGCAACAATGTGACGAAACGTTTTGGGCCAATTGTGTGCGACACACAGAAGACGTTATAAAGGCGTGGTATAAACGAGAAGAAGTATTAGATTTCACTGTAAACGAAATGATAATTAATATTGGTAATTGCTCCGAAAGTTCAGATTACGATTCGGATACGGATTAGTTTATTACTGAAATGTTATTAACACACTGATGTAACAATATACATGTACTGACATGAGATTTTTTTTTAATTCTTGAGCCTTATACAGATTTTACTGGGCATATCAAGAAATTACACTCGATGAGTCAATCAACTTATTTGGGTGCTTGAAATTTCACTTCTTACTGCCCAAACTCTACAAGATTCATTTTTAAACTATCAATTATAGTAAAATTGTAGTTGTTTCTTACATCAGCGTTGCATAAAACATGACACTGTTTTGATTATTAGTTTAATTAGAGTAAGGCAATTTCTTGGATATTTACAAATTAGGCGCAGATTAAGATATTTTGCCGACCATTAATTGAGCTTTACAAATTCGTCAGATAATTCACAGCATAACAAAACTTCGTAATGTCAATAAGATTTTTAGCGCCGCTGCCGCCATCTCTGAGCATACATTATCATTCAAGGATATTATACATAATAATTATTACGGACATAATTTGACTAGCTTTTTTCCAGAGACCTTTTTTCATATTACACCATAAAATATAAATGATGACGCAGGGCCACAGATCCCTGGCAAGGATAGTATGTATGTTATGGTCAGACAATGGAAATAAAATCCAAAATGGCGACTATGATTCAAAATGGCTACCTGTATTGGCTGTATTTTGTATTTGCTACACTTTTCTTCATACACATCACACAAAAGCCATGAGCAGAACACGGGTTATCCCAGTTTCATTGCACGACTGGTAAATGTCAATCAATAACTTTAGAATTCATTTAAAATTCTGATGAGCTTTCCACAAAAAAAATCACCTTTGGCACAACGGGGACTCCCTCTCATGTCAAAAAATACTAAAGGAGCATCCATAACTTTAATTAGATCTAACTCGAGGGCAGAATAGGAAGTAAGGGTTCAAAACTTCATTTTTTGGTGCATCACAATGCACATTTTAAAAATAAAAATAAATAAGCTGATATTCAGGAAAAAAAATACGAGTTTCTAGCCAATGAACTTTCTAGTCTGTACCTAATATATAGGCTGATTCAAATTCGCGGGTCACCATGGGGCATGGGGATCTCGAAAACTGTAAGGGATGCATAGGTAGGTAATTTAAATTTGGCAAAGTTGCGTATTTTGATGCTTAATAAAATGCAGTTTAGAAACTGAAAAAATTCCGACTACTTTCGGAGCTATCCTGAAAAAAGGAAATTTTTGAAAATCGTTTTTATTGTTTACCGAAATTATTGCAAACAAATATTTCAAAATAAATGACACATTATTACGACCACTTTTTTCACTCTACAAGATGCTAGGTTTAAATTTTAAGTCTGACGTTTTGTCTCCGGTTAACTATGAACTTTGTTTTTAGCGTATTTTCCACAAAGTGAAAAATCGCTATTGGCTGCACTTTGACGTCCGTCCGTCACAGGTACTCCTTCTAAACCACTGAACGGATTTTGGCGATATAGGACTCATTTGAAAGGGCTTGGTCCAAGGATTCCGTGCATACCCATAATTTTTGGTTTTGCGCATGCGCAGTGTCAAAAATTTGGTTTAACGCATGTGCGATGCTAACTTTTTTATTTATGAAGATATTTAAATGAAATTTGATACATAGGCATTTGGCATAAAGACGGTCTTAAAATTTGATTTTGCGCATGCGCAATGGCAACTTTATTATTTATGAAAGCAGTTAAATGAAATATCATATGTAGACCGGTTTCAAAATTACTGTTTACGCATGCTGTATGTTTTATTTATGAAGGTATTCAAATTTCAAAACGGCATTTTGTTAAGCATCAAAATACGCAACTTTGCCAAATTAAAACTACCTACCTATCTACCCTGAAATTTATTCTTGTCTAGCGCAAAAGTGGGTATCTATTATTAAAGGTTTGTAACATGCGTAACTTTCAAAATCCACAACAATTGCCCCCTCTTACAGATGGTCACTATAATCTCACTATTCTATTCTTTACACTGTGGATTTTCGTACAGTAAAAGTCGCGATAATTCGAGGTTCCGTGCAGATCCAAAAGAAAAAAAAACTTGAAAACTCAAAACCTGACTTTATTTTCATGTAATCGTGGTGCGCCTGCGCTACTCATCCCAGTTTTGCAAAACCCGAGGTACTACTAGCTCTAATGGACAAATTTCATAATGATAAATGATAATACAATATTTTACCTAATTATAGATAAAACTAATAAACTAGTAAACAAAATTTTAAAATCTGTCAATAAATGAGAAATACATTATTTAAGCTCTGTATTCAGTGCGCAAAACGGTAGTGGTTATTGCCTGTGACGTCATTTGACCTAATCGAGCGCGGCCGTTACCGTAGAAACGGTGGGGTGCAACAATAATGTACTCAAATGAATGAATGGTCATCATATGCGAAAAGGTGAAGTGACGTCACACGCTGAATCGAAATTATTTTTCCAAGTGCAACTATAGTCTTTTAACTTTTTCATTTCTGAAGGTATTTTAATGATTCTTTCGCATTTTTGTTTCATTTTACTTAAATTTTCATAATCAATTTACAACAAAAAACTGGACACTTCGTCATTACCTCGAATTATCGAGACTTTACTGTATTGCATTACCAAGACCCGATATCACTTCCATTAACCAATTTGGGTACTCACCTTCACTATTCTGGGAACAGAATTTTCATCACACTTCAACAAAATTTCTGACCGGAAAAAATCTATAAACAACAAATTATATATAACGACTTTGAAATTATTGTTCAAATTACCATCAAGACACATTCTACTTCTGTAGATTAATCGAACTGACGACTCTACATCGTCAATTTTCGTAAGTGGGCAGAGATGAACTTCTGGTCCCATACTTAAGCCGTCTTTGCAAACTAATCCATTGCAATCTCCCTTTCGATCAAAATTAAAAACATACAATGAATTATTCGACATGGAAAAGATCTACAACGTACTCCAGATATTTAGGCATGGAAGTTTATTAGCACTTACTTTCAAATTTCCTAGACTGTTCAAGCTGAAGTGATTCAGTTCTGGTATTGTACAATCTTGATTTTCAGTTTGACTTACAATTTCAGGTTTACTGCTAATAATTTCATTGCTCTTCAATATTAGATCTTTACTACAAACATGTTGAGTCTTTAAATCTGCATACTGTGTACAATTTGTAATTTCTCCAACTTCAAACTTATTGATGGAATAGGTCGGTTCACAGCTTACACTAATATTTACAAAGTTTACTATATTGTCAGTGCACGACCTGTTGAATAAAGAATACAAAATTGATGGTCCATTTGAAGAGCTTGCTAATTGAAAATCTGTATCCAATGTAGTACAATTTAAACCTAAAAAATAAATTAGTTTATTGAGTTATAATAAAGCAAGTCATTTATAAAATAAAATAGAACAGTTCTACAAGTATCGATCCCAACACATGGCACATTACTCACTCTTGATATGAATATGCAGCCAAAATGGAAATATTGGCCCGTATTAATAAAAGTAAACAAATGCTTATACTTGCAAAATTCAAAGTAAATACAGGCCGTTCGTCCTAAGGTGGCGAACGGTCGTTGTGCGCAGTGGTTCAGATTCAAATTTAAACTTGCAACGCACCAGTGGCGTCTGCAAAGCATTTTTACTTTAGGTAGCAAGTACTTAAATTGTTTTGTATTGTTTCTCAGGAAATTAATGCCCTCAAATGGATAATAATTATGCAAGACTGACACTTTTACTCATTGTGATAATGATAACTTGATGCCTTGTTTTCGAAAGTAATATCAAAAAAAAAAGGGTCGCCGGCACTGGTGCCTGCAAAAGCAGAGCTCCGGATCTCTAACGGACTCTCGGGATGCGCTGGTTTCCGCCACCTTAGGACTAACGGCCTGTACTTGTAACTGCCCCTTCATACTGGTCTGTTTAGCATGGTTTAGCAGCGCTGCAGTGCGTCCTGTCCTGCTGCTCAGCAACGCTGCTAAGTCGCCCAGTGTGAAGGAGCACTTACGAGTATTTACTTTGAATTTTGGAAGTGTAAGCATTTGCTTCCATTTATTCATATGGACCATTATAACACGATCGTTGCAGATATACGAAACGTGGATTTATCAAACTTTGAAATCCCTTTCCAAACTGCACAGAACACCAGGGCTCTCTGCAGCTCGCAAGGTAACAAAAAATTATAACATTCAAAAAGTAGAAAAATGTCCATATAAGTACCTAAGTAATATCAAAAATAATGTGTCACTTACCATTGTTTAAGGTACAATAAGTAAAGGCATTTGAACAGATGGGTACCTTAAAAGTTTCATTATGCCTTTCGAATTTAATTATTGTATTAATCGCAGCCAAATCAAAGCTGAAAATAGATCAATAAGTATATGCTATGTAGGGATTCCAAAAAAAGGGACTTACGTGTTCTTAGTAACAGGATCAGCAAAAATGCACGCAGGTGGAGACCTCATCTTTGGATTAGTTCGATTCTTACCACACGCTTCAGGCGTTCTCCACACAAATTCATGGTTACAGGCTGTCTTGCGTAGAAGCTTTGGACCTTCCTAAACAATGCAATGATTAGGGGAATATTAAATAGTGACATACTTCAAGAGTAGAACATTTAAATCGAATTAGAGATGATCTATCAGAAAAATCGTCAGGGCACAAAGTGCCATGTTTATATTCAACTACCACATCAGCGCCGTCTAGTTTGAGGTCAATATCACTATTAATCATGCCCAATGAGATGTAGCTAAAAATAAAATTTGCTGTCTATCGTAATTATTACGCATTTTTATGCCGTCACATTTAGCACAAATCGCCACATTCAGTTCAAAGGCGAGTCTACATTCACACAGCTGATACTGATTGAGGTTTGAAACAATTGGCACAAACTCTTGAAGAAGAATAAGGTTTAGCTTTTGAACCACAACCACACAAAGGGCAAGCAGTAAATCTTCAACTTTTTCTTAGAAACTGTGCTCTTTTGACAATCTGTCTTTGAAGTATTCACATACTCTCCTACCAGCAGACACATCTAGATTAGACCTTCCATTTCCCCTTTGTAAGTACCCTCTTCTCATGCTACTTTTCGCAAAATATGTGAGGAATTATAACTGATTATCTTAGGGGTCCAATAGTTGATGGAAACAAATTCATTGTGCACCATGATATCACAGTGTTAAAAGATTGCACATAAATTGGTTTACTCAAATTGGTCATGGCCAGTGCTGTACATAGATAAGAGACCAAATAATTCAAAGTTAGTTTAGTTGGACGATATAAATAGATGTTTGATGAAAAAAATTTACTTTTAAGAAGCGTGTAGCGGTAAACGGTTGGGAATTCAAATAAAAGTTGCGAGAATAATAGTTATAGAGCATTTAATGAACTTTCATTTAGTATAGGAACATTTTCCTCGATGAACCGTTTTTAATATACAAGTGGAGTCATTTGATCCCCGGTGGTGCAAGGCGCTTGAAAAATAGAAAAATCAGTTAGGCAAACTGTTCAATAAGGTAAAGAAGAGCAAAGCTACAGCCGATTGGGAGACCTACAAGGTAAACCTAAGGCTATATAAGAAGGATTTTAGACAAGAGGATGGTTCCTACACAAACAACCTCTCAGAAACAGCCAAGGTACTGAGAGACGCCCACTTTCCCGGAGCCACTACAACGCCAGAGGTAACCCCCTTCATTCCCATGGAGAATGACTGGACGGTTGCTAGTCAGATGGTGTATCCGGCGAGGCATACAAATCACCAAGATTGGATGGCAAAAAACCAGTCATCCTGCAATGGCGACTGGATTGTCATCTACCTAGTGAGATATATAAGGGCTGTATCGCTTTCAGATACATACCAAAGATAATACTACACTAGATAAGACACCTCAGTTTTGTCAGCGGGATATGTCGACTCTGTCCGCAGAGAGTGTTTTTACCACAATAGTAGCGATTATTCACTGCATTAGCAGACAATATTAGAACAATGGCTCTTTCTATTGTGTTAGTCAGGCGCAGCCTTGTATAGGCGTATCGCATTCTTTCACTGTTCTTTTTCTGCTCTAATTTAAATTAATAATATACTCCATACTGAACAGTTACAGAAAAATCTGCCGTATTTCTTATAAAGAATGGAAGGTACCTTCAGTTTCCCCCTGACAATCTACCTGTTCCTGTTTACAATTACACAATTTTGACATGTTCGAAAAACGGCTATCGCAATAGCTACCTAGCTCGTGGTAGGAAGCTAAAAAAGTTTTTGACAGTCTTACATCTTTTATGCGCAATGTGAACTAGCAAAATTTTAACGAAATAAAAATAACCGTTTTGCCGAAAAAAAAATTTTAGCTTCTTGTCTTTTGACACAATTTATTTCCCAACAGAAGATCTTTGGAAGAATTTAATAAAAATAAGTTATTTAAAAAAAATCGATGCCGTTATTTTAAAAATCCGACCCAAACGTAGGCAATTAACATGGGAAAAATGTTTTTTTTGTAGATTGTGCTCCCCATGTTCACTTAAAGGTCTTATAATGTTTTCTCATCTTATCACATACAATTAGTTAATTTTCGGTTGCATTTCCCATTATTTCATCAAAAATTTGGAAATAAATGCAATTACCAAAATCATGTAATCCATGACTATTAGTAAGACAAAAAGCAGATTCAAATGTTATTCAATTCTTTAGAAAATTTACAATTGACTCATGGCTTAACATGATTTTGCTAATTGCTAATTTTGTTGAATTTTTTATGAAATTATGAGAAATACACCTGAAAATGAACAAATTCGCTCATTAGATGAGAAAAAAATCTTCTTTCGATTGCATGGGGTCCCTCGGAAGTTAACCTACATGTGGAGCAACAATTTGCAAAAAACATTAATTTTTTAACATGTTAATTGTTTATGTTCGGTTTTGAAATATTCACCAGGTATGTGCCTGAATTCAAAATTTAAGCGCCGGCGTGATTTAGTTTCTCTGGAATAAATTCGAAAAACGGTCAAATTTTGAGAAGAAAAGGTTATAATAGCGAAATGGGTGAAAGTTAAGGGTATGCTATGTTACAAAAAATAAAAAAGTAGTACTCTACAGTACTTTTCAATTTCTCAATAAAATATTCCATTTTTAAAAAAACGGACGCTACTGAAATACAGCACGCCACTGGTGACCAGAAATATTTTAGAAACATTTTTGCTCCTCCATTTTTTCCCGATATCTTTTATGGTAAAGGCACTACGATCCGAGGGGAATGGTTACACCCTGTATAAAGTACAGTCCGATAAAAGTGCGCAATATTCGCAACGTGGCGGAAATTCTCAGAGACGCCTCCACAGATGTTTCCCTTACCTTTAAATGTAATTTAATATATATAATACGTAAAGGAATGTGGGGTAGGTCAAGGAAGAGATAGTATAATGCAGCTCGTGTCGAATACGTACGATTACGACTTCCGATGATAGGCTTAATTGCAAAAGTCCCCTATATCTTCTTTAAGGAATGAAATAAGCGGTTTAGCAACTTGCCCATTTACGGTGTCTATCTACTAGAGTAGTATTATCTTTGATATATAAGATCAATATTTTACTATATGAATGGTTAGACAAAAGTAGGGTTTAATCAGCAAAACAATTGGAAAACTTTTACACTAGGTACAGTAACTTGCCCATTTACAGTGTCTATCTAGTGTAGTATTATCTTTGTACATACCTAAACAATGGAGGAGCATATGGAAATTGTATTTATCCCCAAACCTGGCAAAGGTGATTACTTTACACCTAAAGCACACCGCCCAATCAGTTTGATGTCTTTTCTTCATAACACACTTAAAAGACTGTGTGATAGATACAACACGCATACTCCCCAGGAAGATCTAGAGTCAACCGTGCACTGCGTTGTGGGGCGGATTGTGAGATCGCTGGACTATAAACAGTCCTCACTGGGAATATTCATAGATATAGAAGGGGTTTTGAACAACCTTCGAAACAATAGAGGAGGGGGCGAGGTTAGGCGACTTTTTTTAACTGCAGACAGCAGGGATTAAAGCAATGTTTGCACAACACAAAAATGATGCCGATATAGAATTCAGTTCTTAACAATTTCATGTGTCCATCGGTTTATAAATATTTTACTTTTATTATTTTGCATTGTTTACCATGCGTGGTTCCTATGTATAAATTTATTTAATTGAATAAAAAAGCAATTGCGTGAGTTCAAAAGGGACTTTCTGGCAAAATCAGCGCGCAATTGAGACTTCGGAGATCATCCCCGCCCGAAGATAAGACCTATATACTCTGATATGAAGCAATATGTCTGGTGGCCAGACTCTCCACTGTAGCACTTCTTAAATCATGTACTTACAAAGTCTTCTGTGCCTTGTTTGCACAGACGCGATGGGAATAATTCCCACATCCGTCATGGAGGTTCTTCTGGATCTGTCTCCACTAGATCTCGATGTGAGAGAGCAAGCCACTCTGGCATCCTTGCGTCAGAAAAATAAGGGGTTGTTGAATAGCAGAGGTACCGAGGGGGGCCATTCTGGAATTCTTGGCGCCGCCGGGGGGTTAAGCAATTGCTTATCCTAGAAGGATAATCGGACTCACTCACTCCTCAATTCATATTAGGGAAAATTCGCCACATCTTGGTACACCCAAAAACCTAGATAAAGCTGTTGGTACCATCTTTCTATGAGTTATAGTTCCTCAAACATAAGTGATAAGGCTGTAGGACAGGGGTGATTGGTTACAACTTATTTTTTGTCCGTCAGCTTCCACACTTACAGCACCACCTTTTAATGTGGGATATTATACTTTTTAAAAAAATTAACATTTTTAGTCAATTAGTCGCGCAGGCCAAGACCCAACGTTTCAACACATCCACAAATCTAGTTTTTTAATCGGTTTATGTACGTAATTTGTTTGAAATATTTTAACAAATAAGGAACCTAGAACACGACACGCAGGCGCCTAATTTTTTTCGACAAAGATCTTTGTTTTCATCCACCCTATTATTAAAACCTATTAAACAAAATAAACTTACTGAGATCTCAAACAGTCAGACGAACAGACTTATGCAATTCGCGCTGGTATTAGTGCTTTTTTTTATTAAACATAAATTAAATAAGTATTACCAGAGTAAATACAATTGTATTTCCTCTATGGTATTACTTTTCTCAACTTCGCCTCCTCCAGCTTTCCTTCCCTATAATACAAAAACAGGTTAAAAATTACACAATCCTAAAGTTTACAACTTTTCGAGAATCATTTTAGGCGTTTGATTTATTTGGCACAAAAATGTTTGGTCTTCCTCACTACCCATTTTTAGCGCATTTTTGGAAAACAATACGCTATTATATTCGTTATGGCTGGCTGGCTGGCTGTTCGGCTGAGATCTCAGTAATTAGTCTATTTTGAGTTAGATTACTCGTGAGATCGACAATTTTAAACTTTGCTAATGAAATACTGATCTGTGTGTATTAGTATTACGCAGACGACTTCCATTTATCTTCTCTGAAAAGCTTTATCCGTTCCAGCCAGATGTGACAGAAAAAATTAACCAAAACAGTTGGCAACACAGTGTTGTAGGTCAAACAAGGTAAACTATAAGGACTTGCAACAGTATGAATGCGGTGTGAATGTAGACCATTTCAAGCTATTTCAGAGATGGTGTTCATACTGAATTAGTTCATAATCCGTATATACTTAAATCAGCATAGGCAATATGAGAATATGAGAACAAAAATGTGTAAAATCTGACTTGTGTATTTGAGAAATATTGTTATATAGGTAAGTATACTAACCTCTTTTTCTCGTGCATTTCAGTCAAATTTTTCATACAAATACCTGCATATGCGGTACATTGCGCATTATTCGTTCTAACAACAGACCTGCATAAATTTAAACTGTATAGCAAACCTGCTTGTTTGATTTCATAATTGGCATCATGTCGCATTAAAGGCGAAAGATCATACAACCAGTTTCCGTTATACAACTTACAATCGAAGAAAGACATAGGTGAGCAGGCAGTTGGAGTGTTTACAGTGATCTCATAGTCACAGAAATCTCTAATCTGAAACAACCATATCTAATAAACAAATTTTTTTTTAATAAACTCGTACAATTTTGACTTGCACTTGCCCACCAGGGGTTGCAAACTGATTACATCTAAAGTTAATTTTTAATTCCGACATTTTTCCAGAGCATTTATCACCCTTCATAATGGTCGATATTATTTCATTATTCTTAACCAGTGTTAGATTTGTTCTTCCTAAAAGTAACTATCTAAGCATTAATTAAAAGAAGTAAATTACTCACCTAAGACATGCTCCGTGTTGCCATTCACCAAACAAACGGCTGCTGTATGATTGTTACAACGTTTATTTAGCGGGCCGCATAAATTAAAACGTAAAAATGAATTTGGGGACAAAGTGTGGGTCCTATCCTGATACTGGCGCATTGGGTTCAAATTGATTGGTCCGGTCATGTCAGTTACTCTACAATCATCCCCTATTGGTAGCTAAAATGAAAATACAAAAAATGGATACATCATGTTTGCTTAACTTACATTTTTGGCGCAAGCAATTGGAGTATACCACTTTATTTTATAGACACATTCATCAATTATATCATGCACTATAGGACCATCTTCCTGAATTTTACATATAAACTCAATTTCAGTGCTGTAGCTCCTTTCAGTACCATTTACGAAACATGCACTGCCATCTATAAACAGTTTTTATTTCAATTAAACACGAAAAGAAAACAATCCAAAACAAAACAAAAAGTATTTTATACATAAAATGTGATCGAGTTCAGTCAAGGCTGCTCTACAAAGTCAACCCACTACACACATCCAAGCAAGCATTTGACACTAAGAACTACGCCCAGCTTTTTTAGCTAGCGCCAATATGAACTTACCAGTAAAACTTGTAATAACCGTATCATGAGCAGTGACTTGAATATTTTTCTGAATGCTACCCAAATTAATTGCTCCACCTTTCATAAGACACACTTGAGAATGTTGCTCTAAAAAATGCAAAAAGTGCAACTTCATACAGCCTATCATTTATCAACTCACTTGCGCACTCAGTTGTAGAGTCTGAAAACCGTAAAGGACCACACATACTGATGTCTATTCTGCCACCAGTAACATTTTTGACGTTCCATCCATTACCACCTCGATATAATCGCCTCAAATCGTACAAAAAATTATCATTAGCTGGATCTCGTATCTACAAACAACAAGACCCAAAGTTTTCTACCATCTACCTTTTCAAATAAACACTTACCAAGCAGTTGATTGGTAACTTAACACAGGCAACTGATGACTCTGCACTGAAACTATAACGTTTCCCTTTTTGCTGAGGTTTTACGTAAACTAAATTCGTTAATCCAGTCGCTTTCCAATTGCATTTAAGATTAAGTCTAAATTCTAGCCTGAACCGCCTATATTCATTGGTATGGCCTTGGATTAAGAGACTTCCCTCCTTGAGGAGTAAACGTTGGCTACTAACATCTGATATTGCAGTTGACCGGCCATCATCCAGCAACTGACATATTGATACGTCTGGATCACATTTAGGAGATTTTTTGCACACATTTAAGCTAAATTTCATTTTCGGTTCAGGATGTTCTACAATTGTTTCTATATTTTTTAGTGATCTCATGTCAATAAAGTGGCCATTTTTTTTTAAAGTACATGGCGGTTCGTATTCGGGATCAGGAATTTCGATTTTTAGTTCACACTCGCTCATGAATTTAAATTTTGGTTCCAGCTAAAAAAACCTTTTCATTATTCTATCTACATTGTTGAATTGGTATATTAAGTCCTGTCACAATGATATTTTCAAATACAGGCTGATTCAAATTCAAGGGCCACCATGGGGATCTCGGAAACTGTAAGAGATAGGAGGGTAGTTTAAATTTGACAAAGTTGCGTATTTTGATGCTTAACAAAGTGATTTTCGGAGATATCCGGAAAAAAAGCAAAATTTTGCAAAATCGTTTTTGTTTTTACTGAAATTATATGAAAAAATTTTTCAAAATAAATAAAATTATTATGGCCACTTTTTTCCCTCTACAAGATGCTAGTCTCCGGTTAACCATCATCAACTTTGGTTTTTCTTATGGAAGTAATTTTTACTTTTTGTGTCATTTGATAGATTTTTTTCTGATCTTAATAATATAAACACAATTTTTTTAAATTGTTAAAATGTCTTCTTTTTTGAATAGAAAACTTTGTCTGGGGCAGTGTATGTACACACTTTTTTGCGTTTTTACGAATTAGTACGCTATTTCTGATCAAAGATAGTGACGTTTGCATTTTTAAATTCAGAAAAAAATTCTAAATTCTCTATCAAATGACACAAAAAGTAAAAATTACTTCCATAAGAAAAAACAAAGTTGATGATGGTTAACTGGAGACAAAACGTAACAGTTGAAATTTAAAAGTAGTATATTGTAGAGGGAAAAAAGTGGCCATAATAATTTGCCTTTTATTTCAAAATATCTTTTTAAATAACTTCATAAAAATTAAAACGATTTTGCAAAATTTCGCGTTTTTTCCCGGATATCTCAGAAAGTAGTCGGAATTTTTTCAGTTTCAAAACTGCATTTTGTTAAGCATCAAAATACGCAACTTTGCCAAATTTAAACTACTCACCTATCTCTTCGAGTTCCCGAGATCCCCATGGTGGCCCTCGAATTTTTTGAATCAGCCTGTATAGTGGTTTTTAAAAAAAAGCTCGCTGCAGAATAATCAAAAATATAGTTTCTCAATAGCTTTCCGATATTTATAATCCTTTTAGATAATTACATTAACCAAATAAGTTCTTACAGAAATATCCGGATATCTACTAAACTCAATGATAGTCGTAAACCTTTCCTCGCCATCGCAAAATTCTCCATTAATCGACTTGAAAATATTTGCTTCGGTATCTGAAATAATAAAAATTATAATTGGGCTATTGTATTCATGTGTTATTTCTACGCAAAGTCTGCGTAGATACGCGGACAACCATAGCGCATTTTCATACGTATCGTAGCGAATATCGGGTCGCCATCAAGTGGATAAGAGATTTGTCACCGGCGCGGCGACAAGGAATGAAAGCGGATGCGACGCATTCTTTTCATAAGTATCATACGTCTTCTAGACTCTTCGAGAACATTCCATAATTTTTCTAGAAACTTTTCATACTATATAAGCAAGTTGAAGCGTGTTAGTTATAGTTCTAATATCGATGCCGAAATGATTATTAGTGAAGTTCGCGTTCGTAGGTGATAAATAATATTTAACTGTTTAACTGTTATAAATTCATTAGTAATTAATTGTAAACAATCACGTAATTATGTATGTTATTGTATATTAGTATATTGCCCCTGTCGATGAATTTAAAATACATTTGGGAAAGACAGAGATTCTTATTTATACTACATCCCAAATAAGAAAATTTTGATTTTTTGATGTATTTTGCCTATGGCGCATTAAGAACTTTTGTTTAGAATTTAATAAGCCGTCATGTGGAGTAATAATATACAGGGAGTTCCATATACAAAATGTTTGCTAATATTTAAAAAATACGACGTTGTTTTGTTTTTCTGTATATAAAAAGTCAGAAAGGCCAAAAAGAGGAAGAGAAGTAAACTTTCTCAGCCTATTTACCTGCTCCCAGCAACGAAACAATACTTCGGTGTTTGAATATAATCAGTGAAATGAAACATTTGATGTACATACCTATAAAATAATTCTTTTTTCAAATTTGTATCCTTAACAATGAACTAGCTGTAACAGAGTACAAAATATAGCGTATAATAATAATATCGTATATTGTGTAAATAAAGCATTCAGTTTTATACCACAGGACTAAAGTTCGTTCTAATCCCTCGGGTGCTTGTTGCCATCAACTATGTTTGGGACAACAAACAACCACATGAAACAGTGAAACAAATTTAAACAAGTATAAATTGTGCACAACTCCTGTGCAGATAAATCGCATTTTTCTTTAACCGGAATAGCTTAAGTTTTGACATCACCAATGGATATATTTCTTGCAGACGTCTCAATCGCCCTTTGTGAGTACCCTCTTCCGAAATCCGTTCTTGAGGTATAAGGGAATATACCCGATCACGATAAGATGTCAAGGAGGAGGGCTATGGTTGGTAATTCTTTCATTGAGACCTTTCATTAGAGTACCATGAAGGATAAAACTAGTTCTACTCCCCCCCCCCCTCCACCATGTACTTTAATAAGAGGACAGAAAGAAGGGCAGTAGTTGGTAGAAAACGGTTCCTTTCGTTGAGACCTTTAATTATAATACAATGAGAGATCAAATTAATTTCTTACCACCCCCACACCCCCCCCTCAGGCTCCGCCGCTCACTGATCTCGAAAAAGAGTCGCATGGAAAAGTTATAGTTTGTACAAACCAATTTATTTCAATGAGACCTTTCATTAGAATACCATGAAGGGTAACTTAGCACTACTAAAGGTATGCGTATGCAAAATCGGAGACCAATTGGTTGTCGTATGTAAAAGCTATGATAATTCGTGGGGGGGGGAGGGGGCCTTTACTCTAGGACCATTCCCCTAGAAGTAATTCAAAACGGTAGAAGTGGGCCCGGACGGACGGACGGACAAAACGCAAACAATAGCACATTTTTTTTAATTCTTAAAAAATGCGCTAAAAATAAATTATGGGATCCTTCTACTTCTTCATATTCTGATACTGTAAATATATGAAATCGCTGAAATTCTATATGTAGGTAGACCACGGTGTAACTATCTTATACCGTGATGTAGACTAAACATTCTTTATGGGAGATGTGTTAAATGTTAAAGAAATAAAAGAATGCACTGATACGGTATAGATCAAGTACCTACTTATCTGTGTTTATATTAATTAGTTTAATATTGTAGGCTGATCGCTAATAGGGTCATCATATGAAACGCCATTGTATCTTTTAATAACCGATCCATTTCAGAAAGAAAAGTATTTATAAATTATAAACAATTGAGTAGTTTGAAGTAAAATTGCTATTTCATTAACAATAATTATCATGTTGACTTATATAATTGTACATTTTACATGATCTATAGTGGAATTCACATTTAGATGGCAGCATCACAGAGATACAGTTACGTGAGAACGTTGCCAACATCTATCAGTATCACTTTTCCTACGTCGTTTAACCAAGAACGGAAAAACCAATATTTTTGCGAGAAAGAAACATTTGCCTTTTAATCCAAAAAAATCTACCCGCAGTATTGAATTTTGATTTTTGTTTGGAACACACAAACTTGAAAAGTGAACGCCATTGCTAATGAACACAAAACTTTTCAGCGCATTTTCCAACGCTATTGCAACCACTGTTTTTTGTCCGTCCAGGAACTTTTCTCCAGCGTCACTGATCTGCTGAGGAGTAGGGTCCGGTGTGAGAAACGGAGCTACTGCTGCAGAAAGGGAGGAGTTCTTCATGTAGGTACTGCAAATACTATGCGATCAAAAATGAGTTGCTGTCGAGTCACCTTTGGAATTTTTGCTTACATGGGAAATCGTTTCAGGGTAAACAAGTCTGTCCGAAATTGTCCGATGAGACACGATTTGAGGCTGTCAACCTATAAATTAACAAATGTCAATTAATTAATTACCCAGATAAGGCAAAAAAAGCAAACCTATTCTTATTTGTGGACGGATGGAAGATAATCAAGTGTATTTAAAGCTTCCCGTACTACGCGGTTACCATAAAAGCTACTCTTTACGCGATCCGAGTGGTGTTCATACGACTTTAGTTTACCCTGAGATTCACATACCCACATAGATATATAAATACCTAGATACAGCCATCCTTAACAAACGTACCTCGGTTTTTAAAAAACATATCAAAGAAATTTCCATTACTTTCTAATCAAGATTAAACATGTTCTATCTCTTTTTATTGCATTAACCACTATGTCGTACGTGAATCGGACGCTTAAAACTTAGCGCGTCCCATAAGTCATGTGACAGTTGACACATTTCACGATCGCGCGAAATAAAAACAATCGCATACTGCCTTATTATATATAGAAAAATTTTGTATACAGTAGATATACACGGTGTCCATTTTTCGAGTGTCACTATGGGGATCTCACTTATCTTAAGAGATAGAAAGTTGGTTAAATGGGGGTAAAGTTGCCAATTTTCGTGCTGAATAAGAATCTGAAAAGATATTTCAAATATCTTCAATAGTTTTGAAGATATCTCAAAAAAATAAAAATTTCTGATTTTCGTTTTTATTTTTTTTATGATAAACTAATCGTAGTAGACATTTCTAATTAACACATTATTCGGATACTTTTTAATGGAAATTTCAAATATGGCATTCTGTTTTTAATAACTCTCCAGATGACGGAGAAACACGTGGCAACTTTAGTTTTTCTTATGGGCGCCATTTTGAATTTTCACATTTTGAGATTACGTCTTTTTTTCTCTTTACAACGATATATCACACATGGTGGTTCAGTAAACATTTTTCCTAAAAATACAATTTTTAATTTTTTGAGAAGAGTGCTTTGGAAAAACAAAACGTTCTTTTGTTGTGAACAAAAGGTTGACTTATTTCATGTCAATGTCATTTAGGTTTATGCTAGTTGTATTGCGAAAATGCCTTTTTCAAATGCAGATCAAAGAGATATGATCCAAATTTACTACACTTCTCTTCTCATCGAAATGCCCACGACTGCTGCAACATACTTGCAGCGTTATCCAGAGGGGCAACAACCTAGTTTGAGGTATTTTTGTTTGCTGCATAAAAACTTGTGCGAATATGGTTCTTTTAAAAGATATAGACAGCAATATGGTGATAGACCCAATGAATATGAGCAGGCAATTTTGCAAGCGGTTGAGATGAAAATCGAATTTCTACTTCTCTGACAACTAAACGCTGCAACCAGACAGATGGATCAAACTGTCAAACTTTTGTTGACAACAAAAGAACGTTTTGTTTTTCCAAAGCACTCTTCTCAAAAAATGAAAAATTATATTTTTAGGAAAAACGTAATACTGAACCAGTATGTGTGATATATCGTTGTAAAGAGAAAAAAAGACGTGATCCCAAAATGTCAAAATCCAATATGGCGCCCATAAGAAAAACTAAAGTTGCCACGTGTTTCTCCGTTATAATAATATATATTTTAATAATAGGTAATATATTTTATTTCCCATCTAACAGCAGAGCCTAATTACAGATGAGAAGATGAGAAAGTTATCTTGAACGTAATTAAAAACAGGATGCCATATTTGAAGTCTCCATTAAAAAGTGTCCGAATAATGTGCTAATTAGAAATGTCGACTACGATTAGTTGATCATAAAAAAAAATTAAAAACGAAAATCAGAAATTTTCGTTTTTGTGTCATATCTCATCAGTAATTTTCCAAGCACATGTGTTTTCAGCTCGGTTTTCAGCGTCGGAGCAGATCCTTGTTCGATCATGAACTGTACTTAGTTGTAATTTTTTCGTGTTCAGATTCCCGAAGATGCAAAATTTCGTCGAGATCGGGATTTTTTCAAACAATGTGTCATCTGCGGGTATTTTTCTGCAAAGTCGGAAAGAGCATACCCAGAAACCTATAGGTAAGGCTATTAGTTCTATTCTTCTTGAGTTCTACGTGTTAGGCTTCAAGGAAAAAACCTTTACCTTTAAATGTAATTTGATCTATGTTTAAATAAGTAAAAGAATGTTCACTAAGTCACGGAAGAGATAACATACTGCGTCTCGTGTGTTGAATATGGGCTTCGTAGCAAAAGCGCCCTATAGCTTCTTTAGGCAGCTCCTCCATTTACGGTGCCCTGTCGGCGGTCTACTATAGACTATAGTATTATCTTTGTCACAACAAAAACAAATGGCGAGAGAGAGAGAGAGAGAGAGAGAGAGAGAGAGAGAGAGAGAGAGAGAGAGAGAGAGAGAGAGAGAGGGAGAGAGAGCAAACTGCTTTGAAAAGAACACATTTTGCGCCCAAAATTGTTCTTAGAGGGATGGCGATAGCTTTATAAATTGTCGGGGGTGAATTTTTCTTTTCATTAGTTTTTAACATATGTCAATATCCCAGATCCATATTTGTTGAGTTCTGGGTCCATCAAATTAATTTGTGGAATAGGTTTTTTTCCAACCTTATGAGAAAC